TATATATATATAAATGTTCCTTAAAATCCTGTTATTATCGAGTTCGGCTTATCTCGAACAGTTAGTACCCGAGAAACTTTTGTACCCATACATATAAAAAGTTATAATAATGCATGTATTTTATTATTAAATATATTCTTTTGTAACCACTAGTCTATAAGGAAATCATTCTATCCATTTATTTTTTATAAGAAATGATTTTTAGTGATATGTGGTAGAATATACTTTTTCGCGAATTTTAATATTATATTAATGATGTGATAAAAATGGTAATTGTAATTAACACACTATCAAAATTATGAATTACTACTGTAAGTGATCTTCAAGAAGAAGATTCGGGATTCACATTCTCCTGTAACAAGACCATTGGTGTTTAATGAATTGCTTAACTTTTCTTTGTGAATGGATCTTGTGAATTTGATGTTGAATCGAAATACATTTCGCTCTCCATTATGAAAATTATTCTTTTTGTCGGGTACTAACGCGTTCCACAAGGCAGAAAAATCTTGATATATAAAATAACTATTGAGATCTTGAACGCGATAAAAGTATAAGTACTATCGTAAATATATTAACGATTTTTAGTCGTTATATTATAATAATAAATTGTCGCAAATTAATAATTAATAATAAATATGATCTAATAGTATTGAATATGATATAACAGTAATGTTAGTATCTCTTTTCGCATTTATCAATATTTCATTAAACATTGATTTAGAAAAATTTGTGTTATCGTATGTATTTTCGTATAATCCCGCATTATTAATTTGTTAATTATGCTCCTATATTATCACTTTTATTATATTTTGAACAGCATTTATAATTGTATTGTAAACAATTATTATCATTGTATATGAATTATATAAAAGATTACAATTAAAGATAATATTAAAAAAGTTATTGCAATATTATTAGTGTATGAAATACAATAAAATAATTAGACATAAAAATAAAAAAATAAATTCAAAATATATTTACCTGTAAAAACGAGCTACTAAATTTATTAGTAACCTGTTTTTTTTTTACGGGTGAGTATTCTTACAAAGAAAAGAGGACCGCCGATGAAATCCTCCGGATGGAGGGTCTCTAACGTTTTTGCTAAAATTAAACTTTAATTTAACGATATATGATTGGAAAAATTTGAAGTGTATTCAAAGACTCTATAATTAGAATTGCTAATGCGATTATATATTTTGAAATATACTTATATACTAGTAATTATTTGGTAAAGACATGCTATATTTGGTTTGATATTTCTGAATTCTTCTTTCAATCATTTTTACATGTTTTTATTTAACAAGTACTTATTTTGATCTCTCGAATTGCCATTTCAAAATTACCGCGGCGCAAATGGCCTCATTTGGAATCTGCGCAGAATCGTACAAAATTTGTCTCGATAACGAACACACTTGATTTCCTTTTTTTTTCCTTGCACTATCGAATTCCAGATATGGTGGATTTCTTATCATGTGATTACAGGTACGACGCGAAGTAAAAAGATGGCATATAATTTGAAGGACGAGGAGGAAGTAAAGGAGTACTTGAAGAACCTTCACATAGAATATCAATTCGGCTGTTACAACGAGAAAAATCCGGAGGGTGAGTGAAGCTAGAGTCTAACCTCACAATTATTACATTAAGAAAAATAATCTTTTGCTCCGAAAACAGTATGCCATTTGTTGGGTGATTTTTACGAAGCGATAAAATTGGATACGGAGAAAGCTGCTTCGTTATACAAGACGACCTGCGATCAATATAATTACGCCAGAAGCTGCGCGAAATTCGGCGATTTTAAAGTGATCGGTGAGTTTATCGAGAGAGGAACACAAGGTGCTCTAACAGATGCTTGCTACATTAGTTATAAACACTTGTGGTAGATGTCAGGAGCATTTATTATTAGGAAGATTTATTATAGCGCAAACTTCGTTTTTAGAAACTCGAATCTTTCAAACATGAATTTTGTCTATTTTTATCAAAGTAGATTAACTTTAATCTCGATTTAATAATTTATAATTTTCTATCTTTTCCTAGTTTTAAAAATTAAAAAAAAATGAAGAGTAAGTTGAAGCTGGATTAAAGTTAATCTATTGAGTTGTCCGGAAAGTTCGTGCCGCAAAAGATTTAAATTTAATAAATGTATACTAAAATTTAAATCTGCGTTTCAATTTTCCTTCAAAATCGGCATGAACTTTTCGGACAACCCGTTACTATATCAGAATTCGAATTTTGAAGAGCATTGTGATTTTATATATTTAGATTTAGTTCCATTAATAGGATTCCATTAATAGGATTAACTTTATTCTCGATTCAATTTACTTCTATCTTTTTCTAATTCTAAGAATTAGAAAAAGATAAATAGTAAGGTAAACTGAGATTGAAGTTAATCTTACGCTGATGCAACCAGGCCTTTATTATATGTCCACTTCTACCAATGTAGATTCACTTTAATCTTAGTTTAATTTATTCTTTATTTTTCATAATTCTTAGAACTTAGAAGAAGATAAGAAATAAGTAATGTAAGTTATGATTAAATAATATAAGAAGTTAATCTACATTAGTAAAAGTGGACAGTAATATTAAGATTCCATCCAGCTAATGAAGAAATCGTATAGTGAAATCATAGATTGAAATTAATTTTAAATATAAAATCAAATTACAAATATCGCTCCAAATCTATTCTAGAATTAATTCTTTTCTTTTAATATAGGAAAAGGTTGCGAGAAGGACATTCTGACAGCATATAAGTATCTATCAAAAAGCTGCGAGCTCAATGACGAATATGGATGTCTACATGCCGGTGTTCTGGGAACATCCAAGACCGATGTTGGAGAGAAGGACAGAGCCACCCAGGTTCATGCAGGTGCCAAGTATCTTAAGAAAGCCTGCGACATGTACAACTCGGAGAAGGCCTGTTTCTATCTATCGGGTATCTATCTAGGAGGTTTAGAGAACTTCATCGAGAAAAACTATAAGGAAGCATACAAGCTATCGTTGAAGAGTTGTGAGCTCGGAAATCCATATGCTTGTGCGAATTTGTCGCAGATGCATTCGCGCGGAGAAGGCGTGCAGAAAAATCCTGAGCTTGCTGCAACCTTCAAGCAACGCGCCACTGATTTGTACGAGGAATTGACACGAGCACAACAGGAATTAAAATTCCATCAGGGCATAGACCCATAACATTTAACTCGACGATATGCATTACATTGATCGATAGATTTATTCATTTTTTTTTTAGTTTATACAATTCTGTGAAACGAAAGATTAGGTATTTTTGCCAATGAAAACATTTCGCATTATGTGTTTAACTGCAGTCTGCACATTTAATACGCTCCCTTATGTGTTTGAATCATCATGAATTGCATAAATTGTTTATAATTAATATAATTTATATTTAATATAGTTTGTTAAATATAATATAATAGAGAAGGAAAATTATTGAATAGAAAATAAGCAATTTTTCTTTTCAATCGATAATTTATTATTCATTATTCTCGATATAATCGTCATCGATTTAATCTTAAATATTCCTAGTGCGATTGTTAACTTATTCCATATTATAAATATATCATATAATTGTTTACAATTGCCTAATTTGATAGCGCTATTCCTGATTGTGCATATTGAATTCTACGAATTAAATATGCGATAATGAACTCACGAGTATTTAAAGAATCGCGAACAGGATTCACCGCACATATGCGATAAAGATAAAGAAAAATAAAAACAAGATATTATAAAATTTACAGAAAAATATTAAATATCACGATTGGCCTCAACTAAATGATTTTTGCGCTTAATTGTATCGAAGAAAAAACAAAAATTCTAATTTAAAATGAGTTAAAATGAAATGCTGAATATTTCTGTTTCAAATTTAGCTAGAAAATATTAACATTAATAAAATGTTGTTTAATATCAACAAAATTGCTATTCTAAGCCAATAGTATTGCGATAGAAAGTGAAGATCATATGTCATACAGATGTGGAAAATTTTCGGGCTTTACACTCGTTTAGAAACGCAAATTGTCATGCAAAACTAAGCTGATGCGAGCTTGTGTCTATGATCGAAGGCAGATAAATGTTGCTGGATGCAACTAATATCGCAAGGATGAACTGCGGCTCTCCCTTCCTCCGTGATTGATTGTCTCGTTTTACTCTCTCTTTTTCGATTCCCCACCGCTTACGGCTTTTCGTATCTCCCTCTCTCTGGCGTTCGCCCATCGACTATTGTCCGCAGCAGGTTTAAAGGCCTTTCCAACTCACTCATCAACGATACAACGGATATCATCATGCGATTCTATTTCTTCTGGATTTTTCGCACCTGGCTGACAGTCGTCGTCTTTGTTACGCTCATCTCTCACGGCATTCTGGTAAGCATGAATTTCAAATTTTACACATGAATTAATATATCTATTTTTATCGAATGTTTCTCAATATAGGCAAATAATTTAAACGTAGTAGAATTCTTATCCGAATAGATCGGAGGATAAAACAATTCTGATAACTGAATGATTTGAATAATAGAGGTTCATTGACTTTTCTCTCTAGTAGTACTTATTAATTCTGATAAGAAAAGTTGATATTTAAAAAAATGAAGAAAAACCAGTTCCACCGATGTAAAATTTAAACTTTAATCTCAGTTTAATTTTTTTCTAATTCTTGGAATTAGAAAAAGATGAAGAATAAATTGAATCGAGATTGAAGAAATCTTATATTGGTGGAACTGAACATAAATCAAGTACGGCACCATAAATCATGATAATCTATGTTAATTTTATTAATCTGTTTAAGTCCAATGCGCAGTCGGCCGATAATGAATCAAACAAAAATGTTGTCAACGTAGACGTTTATTATGAATCATTATGCAGTGATAGTATGCGATGGATCGTAAATCAATTTGTACCGTCATATTCGGAATTGAAACGTCATATCCATGTCACATTGGTTCCTTATGGTAAGGCTACGGTAAGTACAATAATTTCATAATTGCGTTTCTCTCTCTATGATTATTTTATCGTTTTAATGAGATGAGTCTTGATAATGAAAATAAAAATTGAAGTGTAAGAGATCTAGAATGACAGAATCTTAAATAGCTTCTAGGAGGCGAAAATTGAGACAATGAAATGTAAAAAAGGTATTTATATATTTTTTATTGTCACAATTTTCGTCAGGAATGACAACAAGACGAGGCGATTGGCATTTCGACATGGACAATCACGTGAAAACATAAAATACTTTGTATCCGTATCTCAATATTCATTTAATTTACTATATGATGTTATATGTCTATAAATCTATTGATCCTCCGAAGCTGATGTCAAAATGTGTAACAGTTACTTATTTATAATATTACTTATTTTATTATTTTAACTCATGACTTATTTTGAATATTAAAAATATTGTTATTCTTTATCATTAAAAGATAATTTTCGATGTTAAATTAGAATAGATTGAAGTTGCTGACGCTATATATCAGAGCAGAAACTCATTTAATTTGTAATTAGAAAACACTAATTAATTTTAAGGAAAATAATATAGAAATATAGAAATCCAATTTAATGCTGGCCACTTTTAATATTTAAAATTATTTAGTTTGAATATTAAAAGTATAGAACAAATATTTTTTAATATTCAAATTAAGTAATTAATCACTATTTTTCAATATTAAATTTCTAAGAGTAACCTGTAAAAAAAATAAACACTAAGTTTATTTTAAGAACAATAATTTAATAAAGTAATTTAATTTTTAGATGTAATATAAAGAATATAATTGAATGGGTTCAATAGACTCACCATCAGCTACGGAGGGTTAATTAACATAGAGTTCTTTAATCTTTATATATTTACATATTTATCTTTTGGTTTTTCTATATTCTTCTCGAGAGGAATTAATGAATTGGCTCGCAAGACATCCGTTTGAAACTGTGGCCTTGAAAATGTAGAATGATTGCCTTCGCTGTAGTCTTCGATATTTTTATCCACGTCGATCACGAGGAAAATATTATTAAACGATTAAAATGCAAATTAATGACGTATGTGTCTGTAGCATTATCGCGAAAGCGAAACCGGTCCGTGGCAATTCTCGTGTCAACATGGACCCAGCGAGTGCCGTGGGAATAAGGCCCAGGCGTGTGCGATTCACGCCATACAGTCCTCTGAGGCAGCCGAGAACCATCAACCATTGATGGTCAATCTAGTCGGTTGTGCAATGTTCGCTAGTACCCCGGCGACTGCTGTTCCACAGGTAGTTTTACCTTCGTATATAATTTCCTAGCTACGATTAGCCGATGCGGCCGCTGATGGCTCTGGCGAACATGCCTTTATCGAATGTAACATATAATTAATTTTCCAACGATTTGCATCGATGAGTAAGAGTCGATATTTAACTTGTAACGTCGACCTTTTGGCATACTTTCTCATTGAATTCACGCGACAACGTGCCGCGATCACGCAGAGCGCGGTGCATTTGACGAAATGTCACTTGGGTGCATTCGTTTAAAATGAAAAAACGAGCACTTTTGAAGACTGAAATAAAAGTTTTATTATTGAATAAAAAATACTATCAAGATGTGCTTATTCTTACAGAAATTTAATTTGGAAGACATAATGATTCATTATTTATTTTGAATATTAAAGAAAATAGTTATCTATCTTTCAGTATTAAATTGGATTTCTGTAAGAATAATTGAGAGAGAAATCAGAATTATTTATCTAACAGTAAAATATATTTTTTTGTCTCGTGACGTGAAGCAACCAAAGTGACATCGTAAGGATACTTGAAAAGCATCACAAGCAGAAAATAAAATTATCAAAATGGCGCCAAAATGGTTCTAAAACAATTATTATTAGCTCTTTGAGATCCATAAAGAATTAAAATTACTTCGATTATGTCCTAATTGTTCTTGGAACATTTCAGTGTTCAAATAAGTTTAAATTATCATTGGAATTTTTATTCAGGCACAATTTTTTCCACGCGTACGAAACATCAGACTGACTTCCATAGATAATCACTAATATTCGCCGATAATACACGTTGCATTTAATATCTGTCGGTTATTAGATAACATAATTGTTGACTTGTTTCGCTATATTTTCACATCGCGTCACGTTCAAACTGCGAAAGTATGTACGGTACAAAAATTTCTCGCTGATAAATACGATCTGGGGTTAGTTATTAAGATAATAACAATAAACGTGCTTTATCATGAACTGTAATAACGCGATAAATGAATTTTAGTGCGCTCAAGATGTCGGCCTAAGTACAGAAACACGAAAGTTGATCGACGATTGCATCGCGAGCCCGCTGGCAGACAATTTGCTTGCAGCGAACGGCGACAAAACGGACGCTCTGCAATCACCTTTGAGATTTGTGCCGACGGTAGTGATCAATGGGGTAAGCGTGTAGAATCTTATTAAATCTGCAATGACTAATTATAAAATGGCACACTGAAAGAAAAAAATGCATTTGTCTTAATTTAACAACAATTTATAGTTATTTTTGATGCTGTACATATCTTTTATTTATACATGTATATTTTTTTAGTAGAATTATATAATTATTATTACTAACATTACAATATTCTAATAACTGTTAAGCCAGATAGTCAAGTCTGCAAAGACAAATTTTGAGCAGAGTATACTACAAATTTTTGATAGCAGAAAAGCAACAAATTTCGCACAGAATATCTAATATCTGTAATATTGACGATGTCAATAGACTATCGTCAGATAATAGGAGAAAGTCTAATGACATACTTTGTCAGTAGATTGGCAACAGAAACTGAGCAAGATTTACAGCTCTTTTTTGGTACCAATCTGCTAGCATAGCATGTCAGCAACTCTGTCGATAGATTCTGAGATTAATGCGGACACTGGCTATGAATAGCTGTGGAAATCTATTCGAATTTGCTGCCAATCTGCCAGCAAATTATTAGTATTTTGCTATCTAGACATAAAAATGGAGCTCATAATTTTAATTATTTTATTATGCAATTAATCAAATATCAAACATTTTTCTTTTGGGCATGATTTTAAATGGGTTATCTAATATCATTACAATTATCGCAGGTATATTCGAAGGAAAATCAAGACGAGGCGATAAGAAACTTCCCCAAATTGATCTGTCGACATTTAACGGCAGAGAAACGGCCGAGTATTTGCAGCAGCGAGAGTACCGAGAATTAGGAGAAAGGGATAGGACTAAGTTAAGCGTCGAAGGTGTGGGGACGAACAAACATTTGCTCGAAATAAATGATATATTTTGTTCACCTATAATATACATAAGTACCTATGTACAAAAATATATATGATTTGTCAAGTATAACGAACTAAGATTATAAAATTGATCATAAAAAGAGAGAAACGAAACAATGAGATCGCAGCGGCAGGATGAACGCGTGATCAATGATCAACGAATCATCCACGCTTCCTTTTTTCCTAAGAAAAAACACGTACATTATACATATAAAGAGCAACATAATTAATGCTTTTAAAAAGAAGTATTCTCGGGATTAGCGATTAATTACGTAGCCATAGAATTAAAGTAACTGTGTTTGAACTATTCGAAAAACGCGATTTTTAACCCTCCAAGCTAACACTAGCTATAACACAATTATTTCTATAAGAACCATTTAATTTGTGTTAAAATTAAAAAGTACTAATTAATTTCAAAGAACCAAAATGACATAACTCTCTTTACAGAAATTTAATTTAATACTGTAAGTATTAAATTTGTCAGTGATTTATTTTAAATATTAAAATTATTATTATCAGTTATTTTAATATTCAAAATAAATAATTAATCACTAATGACTTAATACTTGCAGAATTAAATTTCTCTAAAGATCGTGTAAAAAAGAATGAGAATAATACATTTTATTAGAAAAATTATTCAATTATTAATTCAAATATGTATTAAAATTTAGTATCTTTTTTCAGTGTACAAATGCTTTGAAGCATTCTTCAATTGGCCAATTCTTAAAATTCTTTCTTTTGATTAGTCAATCAAATGCTTTAAAAGTATTTATAGTGAGACTTTGACCGTACTCTGAGTGAGTCCAATAAACCTGCCGTCAGTTCCAAAGGATTAATCGAATCGAGGTGCGAGTTCAATTATGTCTTATTAAATTATATTCCGTTCATTCACGCATCGCTTCCTGTTTCATCTTCGTCGGAGATGGGCTGAAAAAGGCTCATCCGATGAAGATAGCATCATTCAAAGCACTCAGCTCGTGAAACTGTCGCTCGATGTCAGCGTCTAACTCGTGGAAATCTGGCACGTCATCTTCTGCAGTCACGCAGAATCCTGTAATGAGCGATTCGGTGACAATAATCGCATTTAGCAGAAGTAAAAAGCGTTTTGCGTCCATTGGATTATACTTTTAGATCTAGAGAAGTAAGTCCTGTCTCAGCGAAGAAAACTTCCAACACTTGCAGAATAAACATTTTGCTAAATACGGCCGATGCTTTGCTCTCTTCATTCTCTTTCATTTGCTCTCTCTCTCTCTCTCTCTCGCTGTCATCATTTGATCTCGCGCGCGCGTTTTTATATACTTTCACGAAATTACGCGAGGGCTCCTTTAGAAATAGCACGGGTGCGTGGCACGTGGCGCGTGACAAAACAGAGTTTTGTCATCTGTTTTGTCACGCGTACATCCGCGCGTTCTCGCCGTACGCGGCGTATGTCTTCCCCCTCAAAAAAGTAAGGAATATTATTTTAAGACTCTGTATGGGGTAAAGGCATAAAGGAGTGAACCTCCTCTGAGATCAAGCTATAGACTACCAGGAACGACACTGTCATCGGCGCGATACGCGAGCTGTATCAGAAAAGTCAGAAAAAGCCAGCACGCGCCCGCGAGATACGCACGCATGTTGGCATAAAACAAGTTCAGAATCTGCAAAATTACACATTATCTTAATGAAAAAAATTCTCGTAATATCTCATAATATTTTTAAGAATTTGTCATATTTCAAATTTAATAAAAAGATTTTTAGAATAAATAAAGGATAATTTACAGCAAAATGTCATATATAAATCAGTTTTTTAGTTAAAATTTTAAATGATCACTAATAATTAATAATGTTGCGTAATATTTTTAGCCAAGGCTGTAAGTAGAATTCAAGAATAGAGAGAGATAATCAGAAGACAATAGCATTTTGCACGTATGGAAGATGCTACCATGTATTTTTTTCGAGAGATAATTAGCCATGTCTCTCTTTCTAAAAATTTATACAAATAATCGGAAACAATTATAAATAATATAAAGATTTCTGAAAATAAATTGTCTTTTTAGTTATCGCGATTCTGATTCACTAAATATGATTAGTTCCATGATTAGTTTGATCTATTTCGTAAGTGCTATTTTCGCAAAGAGTAGCTGTAATAAATCTCATAAACAGAAAAACAAGGTCTTACTCTATTGGCAACAAAAGTTAAAGGTCATGCTATATCTTAACTACGGAATTATTGCGTGAATATGTAAAAACTGTAATGTAAGCAAACAAATAAGTAACGAATGTCTTATCGCATTTCGGCCAGATTTTCCTATATTGAAAATGCTGATTGAAAACGTAAATCATGCTGAAAAAATTAAAACCATATAGTCGCGATAATGCTCTCATTTCAAGCAATACTTTCGAATGAAAAGATAATATAACAATTAATATAGTCCAGAAAATAAAGAAATTAGGTAATTAGAATGATTTTAATTGATATTTATTTATTAAAATCGTTCTTAATATATTTTATAGTTATAAAATTTTAATAAATATAATATCTGTCCGATAAAAGCATGAATGACATAACTTTCGACATATCTTTCATGTCTTATCGTGGTCCTATAAATTATCAACAGTATTTGTTATTTCATATCGCTTTTTCCACTTGTAAACGTCTTAAATTTTTTTATAGCCGCTTCTTATGATATTTTCTTTCGAATGCGAAGAAAGCTTCAAATTTTTCAATGTACGCGACACTGATCCTTAAATACGTCATCTCTGTAATTCATTTTAAAATCGGATAATAATTAAAACACGTGTCATATTAGGGAAAAAGTTCGTGGCGTTTTTTTAATGCCATTTAACGAGAAAAACGCCACGAACTTTTTCCCACACCTAATATTATGCACTGGAAACTGAAGAATTAGAGATTAAAGGCTTATTCTTTTTAGCTGAATTTCTTGCATGGTTCATCTTTATTTTTTTCTCTCTAATTACGTGAAAAAAAAAGGAAGAAAAATTAATCATGTAAAAACTTTAGCTAAAAAGAATTTTAAAATTCGACCAGTTAGGCAATTATTATTTTTATCCATTTCGTTTTGATTGACTGAATTCTAATCTTCAATCTAAAAACTTGACAAAATTTACAGTAAAATTTACTAGCGATTAAATCGATTGAATATACATCATACAATACATCCATTACCTGTATTCTCATTCTGTATATTAGTAATGTCGTTGATCAGAAGATGACGAACCGACTCGATCGGCACGTATTCCTGCTGATTGCCGTCGAAATTCAGGGAGATTCTGTTCAGCTGACATGTATTGTCTGGCAACGCGTTCTCCTCTTTGACGTAAGTTTTAGATAATTTGTATGACGAATGATTCGTTTCCACATCGAGGATGCACGTGTCTTGATTTCTTCGGTGAGGAATTGTTGAATTTAGTTTGTGACCTATCGCACCGGCTGTTACGTTAATCATTGGTACCTTATCCGATGATAACAGATTGGATAATGTACTCGAATTCTCTGTGTGATTCTTCAGATGCTTCCTAAGACTCGACGGATCCGTGTAACGTTTACCGCAGCCGCTTATCTGGCAAGCGTATGGTTTCTAGAAGAAGAGCAAATTAATGTCATTATCATCATTATTTTTCTGTCAAAAAAGATTGAATTAACAAAACTTATATCGTAAAGCTTTACGTAATTAATTATATTCAATATTTTCTTGCTATTTGTAGATACTTATACAGATAGTTAAATCTTTTTCATATAAATATTGTAAATGTCTTATCTCCGCAAATAAACTGATATCATTTTGACAAAATGATGTTAAAATGTATTTGACGTCAAAATGATAAATAATATTAGCTTCTTTGCTGAGATATTTTTAATTAATATTCAGAAATATTTCCTATTTTGAATATGACCAGTTTTCGGTATTAAACTCAGCAAAAATTACAATAATATTAGATATATATATATATATATA